TTCCCTATTTTAATGTGAAATTCTCATTTTTGCATGCTGGTGGCAATAGATGAAGCAGGTACAGGCAAGATCCACCAAGCTCTACTCCCCGTAACACCTGCTTGCCTAATACAGTCGTGTATTTATTCATTTAGCTAAATCACAAAGTTAAGAATACAGGTGTGATGGGGTAAAAAGCACTGCCCTGTAAATGAATGCTATTTCCATATGGTTTTATATGTAACTTAGTAGAAGAAACAATATTCTTTGAGTGATGACCTTAAGAAAAAACCCTCTGCTTTCAGGATAGCCTTCTGTGACATTAAATTTGTCACTGTTACACTCTGCAGCACTAGATGGTTCTGTGCCCTTCAGAAATTGGTTGGCACTTTCTCCCACAGTGAAGTGCTGTGCTAAAAAGCTAACTGGCATTTTTAGACTTTGTAACACTGGCTTTCTTTCTTGTAGCTGAATCCTCCTCTGATAAGAGATACACTGCACAGGATATGGGTGTCTTAGGTGGTACTTTAGCAGCACCACTATTAATTGCTTTAATCTTCCTTGGACTGATGATATACAAACAGTGTGGAAAACCAGTCAAGTATCTGGCAAGAAAAAAGGTAAGTAAGTGCTTTGTTTGTACCTGACTCACTTTAAGACTTTCTTAGAGGTAAGAAGTGGGGTCTGAGGAGGGTTAAAGTACGGATGAGCTCTCCAAATGCTCTATACGTTTGTGCAAAGTTGATGAATCATACCTGACCAGATGTTTGCCTCTGCCTTAGGATGGGTCTCTGCAAGGCCTAGACTCTACTGACAGTGCTCCTAAATAATGGTTATACCTCAAATGAACGGATATGAATCAGTAAAAGTTGCTGGTGCTCAGCCCTCCTAGAAAATATGCCCATGCTTATCTGAAAGGATCCAGAAATGGAGTCAATAAAAATTAGCTTTTCTGGGGAGCCTAATCTTTTCCAGGCCTCAGTTAGCTCTAAACTCAAAAAGAAGCTGAATCTTTCTGACCGGGAGCACTGTATATGGCTGAGTTTATGTGCAGCTGTAAGGAGCACGCCTGGGATGGAAGGAGCACTAGAATTGCAAATGGTGGGAAAAAACTCCTAATGGAGGTCCCTCGTCTCCCAGGGACTGGTTGCCCTCCAGTGCGCACCTGCATCTCAAGCAGTTAGTGCAGACTTTTCTGATGGAAAGTATTGGCCAAGTCATAGTTACAACGGGAACAAATCGGTCCCAGCAATCACTCTTGAACATCTAAAATGCAGGAACTGTTCCAGTAGACATAGATCGACAATAATAATGCTTCCATCACCAGTTGCCCCAATAATTCTCCATGCTATCTGGGCTTTAGAGTAATTTTGAAATTGATTTTCTCCCGATGAACAGAGAATGGGAGGACCGTAGCAGAGAAGCTGTTAAGTTTATTTACTGGACTCCCTAAATCTGCCACACCTTCATCTACCTGCAAGGAAGGGACGGCATCATTCAAGGCTGGCAGGGAAAGGCTGTTGTTAGATTTTTCAATTTTCATTATAGAAAGGGAGTTTAAAAAATACACGAGGAAAAATTAAAGTTGCTGACAGAAAGAAAATCTGTTCTGGGTCTTGCAAGCAGCATGGTCCTCACTTGCTACAAGTGAATGTACCTCTGCCACCATCAACAAGGCCTTGCTGGTGTATATTAGACGAAGACCAGCCCAGTCACTTTAGCTCCCCTTGTTTTTTTTTTCCCCCATTTCTTTTCCTTTCACTACAATCACAAGGTGTCTCTCCTCCTGCAGTTCTCCAAAAACCTCCCTAGAGATTACCAGAACCAAGCTTACAAGGAAGATGAATACCCAGATGTGAGTGCCAAACAGCATGAGACAGCAGAAAATGGCAGTGTTCGGTCAATGACATCTGAGCTAGAGCAGCCATCACTTCCCTCACCTTCTTCCAAGGCAAGAGAAGCTGATGGCCTCCCAACGGCTTCCACAGCTTCCACCATCACCTTTGACCCAGAGGACAAGGAGGAGGAAGTGGAAGAAGAGAATGACCATGAGAAAGAGGTGAAGTCTATCCTAAAGACAGACAGGAACCTGGAAGACAATGGCTACAAAGCTGTGTGGTTTAAGAGTGATGTGGAACCAGATGCTGGAGATGGGGTTGAAGTGATTGAGGACAATGCAGCAGCAGATGATGATGAAGACAGTGACCAAGACCTGGAGGAAAATGAGGAAGAGAAAGGAGATTATAATGAGGACAGTCACCATGGAGGGCCTGGGTTGTCCTTTGCCCTGGAGAGCCAACCCCTCCCAGGTGTGGAAGTGAAAGTCAACATGTCTGGCAAGGGCACAGCAGCAGAAGACGACAGTGAATTTTTATAATGGAAATAAGATTGCGCCCACCCAAAAAACATGGCATAATCTCAGCCACTTTGCCAAGGCAGAGCCCACCTCTCTGCTCAGGAGAAAAACTGGTCTGCAAGAGGACAAAGGCACCTGCCTTGCCTGTCTGAAAGCAGAGATTACAGCCCTCCAGCTTTAAGTCTGCAGCTTAAATTTAAACTCCTAGTGATACCTTGAAATATCACTTAGGACTTCTGGGGTGGGAGGGGCATATCTTGCATCTCTTCACCCTACTGCCTATTCCCACTTGGGTTCCCTTTCCATTGCATTTCCCATACCGGCTGCAGGAACAGTGGAGACATAGCTGAACTGATTTCGAAGCAGTTAGCTCAGCTCCTAATTGCAGGTTATTCACGGCAACCCAGTATTAATCTCTTGGTGGGTGAATTAGCCAGCATTGACTGCTTGGCTGTTCCCTTTAGGGTGTTACAGGTTAAAACCAGCTGCTGGGGCTAAAAGCAGCACAGGCCATCCTGGCCTTGCAGGTGCTCATAGGACTGCATCCAGGAGCTCCTGCAAGTCTGAGCTCTGCTCTCAGCCGTGCCAGAGCCCATGCTCCCAGCACAAGCGGCTCGTGTGACAGCCAACTGGAGCAGAAGCTGCAGGAGCACTGCCCCTGGTTCCCATCCTGCCACCAAGGTGTTTATGTGCTCAGGAGCTGCTGTTTCCTGCGTCACTGATAAGCAAGGACTGATCACATGTTTTTTCACTGGAGGATTTTATCAGTTGTTCTTCTATGCCATTAAACTACTAATTGTCTTGTATTTCTTGGGCTATTTGATTCCTGCCTGTTGGGGGAACAAAGGGCTCCTGTCAAGACTTGCCTACAAAATGCCAGGGGCGTTTCCAGCTCTCTGGGCTTCTGGCAGCAATGGGGGTCATTCCAGGGGTTGCTGGATGTGGCTCAGCAGGGAACCCGTTGTCCTCCATGTCCGACAGGGTCCAAGATGTCCCGTTATCATTGCCACTGAAGGTGGAGGTCAGCATTGCCTCCAAGTGCTGGATGTCATTGCCATTTCATTGCCCCTCACTTGATGTGGACACCAATCCCTTTGCATTCCCACCTTGCTCCACTCATGAGGAGCCTAGCAGGCTCTTTTGCCAGTGAAATACTGTCTTCTGAGCTTCACCTAGAGCTGAGCTGAAGCCTGAGAGCGGAGGTGGTTCATCAAGGGCAAGTCAGCTCTGCTGTGCTTGCCTTGGCTAGGAGGAAGCCTGCTGGCCTCCAGATTGACTTCGTAGGATCATAGCACCATAGCTTGACTGACCCCCTCCTCCCTCATCCTTCAGCAATCTTATTTTCAATTATGGTCCCACTATCAAGCCCCAAGTCAGCAAAGTGGGCACGCCACTTCCAGACAGCATGGAGAGTAAAGCAAGTGATGCTCTAGTCCAGATTTACACCTGTTGTCAACCAATTGCCCCCCCACCGGCAACCAAAAGCGAGACTGATTTCCACTGGCCAAGACTATGGCTGTGTGCATTTGCACGCTATGGTCTATCAGCACAAAATCTGTGCTGCTTCTAGTTTTCCTATTTTGAGGCTAACTACAGTGCTGACAAGGGCTGCTGAGTGCCCAATTTTCAATAAAAAAAACTCAGGAATGTCCAAGACAAGGATGCATCAGAAGGAGCCTGGGTCACTAGTGTTTATCTTATTTGCTCAGCTTAGCACAACAGCACAGGACTGCAGCAAGGTAAGCCTCCCACTACAGAAGCAGCAGTAATAAAAATTATTGCCCTTGCCCTAGAAGTCAAGCTCCACATTGCTTGGGATTACTCCTGATAAACCCCTGAGAGAGTGAAACCAAAATATAGTTGGTGGGATCCAAATACACATCAAAGCGCAGGACAGCTGGTTCCAAGGATGCCTTAGATCCTCCCAGCCTATGTTTTTTTTCCGTAGATCTCCCCTTCCTGGTGTTGCTAGTGTTGAGCTCTACTGTCCTTTCTCTGTGGAGAATGCCCTTGCTACGCAGACCTCAGAAGCTGCGCTTTTGCTGAAGGTGGAGATTTAGATGTGGAAAGCTTTCCTCATTTCTGCAATAAAGCTATTGTCTCAGTAATTACAAGTGCAGTTTGTCTGATAATAGAGGGTGGGGAGTGAGCCCTGTGTTTGTTGTATAAGCACAGTTCCTGTGGTAGCTCAGGATGATCCCACGCAGGCATTTCCCATGAGACTGTGAGAACTTTCTTAAATTTGTCTGGCTAAAGGTCCAAACACACAAGCCACTGTCTTGTTGTGCACCAAGAACTGGCAGTTGTGACAGTGCTGTGTGCAGTGGTGCTGGGCACTCCTCGAGGGATCACTCTAGCCAGTGCAGGATTGTGCCCCAGCTCTGTGCTTGACTTAACCTAGCTTGCATGGAACAAGGGATGATCTCTGTTGAAGCCAAGCAGAAGACTGAATCGAGAAACAGAGGTTACACTAATGCAAGACTGAGCACTCCGCCAGGCGGGCAAAGGGAACAGACACATTGCTGTGTTTTCCTAACCCACATGGGTGTGGGAAGAGACTGGAAGGATAGAGGATGTATGTGAGAGGGAGCAAAGTGCAGATAAAAGCAACCTGGTGCTCAGTAGCCTCTTTGCCTCAGTTTTCTGCAACTGGGACCAGCATTTATCATAACCCAGTTATTTTTATCCACAGCTCTGTTATGTCAAGTCTGGTATCTATAGCAGTACAATGAATTTCGTCCTGCCAGCCGTCACCAAACATGACACCACCATGGTGATGAAGGGACTCTCTCACACACACACACACACACACACACGCACACGCATGCACAATTCCCTTAAAGCCACCTCCTAAGTGTGCTGGAGCAGAAATCACCTTGCTCAAAGCTGGGCAAACCTAGGCCCACAAAGTCCAGGGTGGGGAAGATGCTCCTCCATGTATCTGGGTGCGGGAAGAGCAGTTGTGGACACCAGTGATGGAGGATTGCATGCATGGGGACTGCGGGGACTGCAACTGCAGAGCTACAGAGGTGCTCTGGGTCTGGAGGGCTTGATGCCAAGCTAAGCATTTGCCCACAGCTGTAACTGCTGCTCTCACGTCAGCCTGGGGATAGGCTCGTAGGATGCATCGTCTTCACACTGGAAGCATAAGGCATCTGCAAGAGCTGGGATGGTGGGCTCTGCGATGGCATTTAACCAATTCCCACTGCAGCAGTGAATGCCCTGGCTTTAGCAGCAATCCTCAGTGGAGCAGCAGCCATGGGTGGCAGCAGGTTGAGAAAATCCCCTTCCCAAATGTGCCAAGAAAAGGGTCCCTTTTCTCCCCATCCTTACAAAAGTAACCCAAGCTATTTTCCTAGCAGTCTCCCCAGACAAGCAGCTACTGTTCCCCTCCTCATTCCCTGTAGCATTTTGTTAGCTTTGGGATTACTGTAGGCCCAACCTCCATCTCGCTTTTACATTTGGAGGCCATTCTCCTGCGGACTGCCTTCTCCGACTCCTCTTTCTACAAACCTGGGGAAAAATTCTTTTTTTTTTTTGCCTGTTCAGAATACTGTTTTGTGATACTTGTGAGCAATGACAGAACTAAACAGTTTCCAGCAGAAGGCAATTCCTCTGATTCCTTCTGATGGAGAGATGGAAGGGCAGCAGGACAGCGTTTGATGTGCCGCCTACCACATTGCTGCCAGGAAGGTCACTTGGTTACATTTAGGCTATTTATTGATATGGTATTGAGCTGATACAAGCCTGAGGAACAGGGCAGGCAGCATATCACACACCGCAAGCCCCAAAGACTGGCTGGGGAAGATGGCAGCTACATCCTCGATGGGAAGCTATAACATGTCTTCTGTTTCCATCTGCCTGCTGGGTTGTGCAGAGCGGGAGGAGACGGCAACGTGTGGCCTGACAGGTGAGATGGAAGACCATGCAGACAGCAAGGAAGCCCAGCATTTCTTTAGAGGAGAGGGATTGGGGACAAGGGGGAACCTGCCTGCAGCCCTGGGTTATCTGAAGGGACTAGACTTGCATGACAGGAGGCTTGGACGAGGCTCCGATGGCCCAACAACTTCAAGCCTCAGCATTTTCGGAGAGGTTTGCCAGCGCTATCAGTACCTGGAAAGAAGGAGCCAAAGCCAATGGCAAGGATCAGGTGTCACTTGTGGTCTGTTTGTCCTGCCTCACCTGCAAGCTCTGCTTAGGGCTCTGCAGCAGGTCACTGATGGCTGTGTCCCCAACAGGCCATCTGCTCACCAATTACCTGGCTGTAAGATGCTTTCCAGCATCTGTTCCCCATCTTCCCCTAATCTCTGTATTTCCCAAGGGATCTTCGACTGGGGTCCATGGAAGGGACTTTCCCGTCAGAGTCCACAGGGTTGCTGGGGGTAGTTGCTGTGCTGTGGCTGTGCTGCAGCCAGGCAATTGGCAGTGGGCTGGGGCCAGACAGGGAGCTGGGGGCAGAGTGAGTGAGGATGGGGACCTGCTTTGGGTACTGATGCCAGGTAAAAGCAGCTACTTTTCCCTGAAAGCCTGGGGCTGTGTGTGTTAGGGGTTGCCAAATCCATTAGTCCAATGGAGACAAGGCTGCCACAGCTCCATGTCCCCAGGTCCAACCGGTAGCAAGGCTGAGCGTGTACTCCCAATAGGCACACGCACAAACACACATATACGGTACACACACACAGTCTGCCTCGCAGAGCGACACACTCAGCGCTCACACAAAAACAAACGGCGCCAACGGCCTCACTCCGTTCCCCTCACTGGCTGATCAGCAGGTGGGTCCATTAGTGGCATATCTATATGTATACATTCATACAATGTGGATCCCTCCAGTAGCTGGGCTTAGGTATTCAGTATTCCCAGTAGCTGCTGCCTGGATCTCCGGTCTCCACAGCTGCTGGCACCTAGATATATGAGCCCCCGAGGGAGCTACTGGTGCAGACCCACTCACTCACACACACACACACACACACACACATGCATGCATGCATGCACCCCACAGGTATGTTGTGGATAGCTGGCCC